GACCCCCCGCGGCTCGCCCGGTTCGTGGCGCGGCGCCGGGGCTGTCCTCATGCCGGTCCGTGGCCGCCCGGAGCCCCCGCCGGTGGGCTGCCCCGAGCACCGGGCAAAGGGGGCAAGATGTTGCCAAGCCACCCCCGACGCCGGCTGGACTGAGATTTCGCCGGGTTCAGCCTCCCAAGCCGCAGGGGTGCCACGCTCTCCAGAAGCCGGTCTCTCAGGGGCACCTGGCGCTGCCCCTTCTCAGATGCTCACGCTCAAGGGCCAGGTTGCCTCTACAAGGGCTCTCACTCCCTTGTACTGTACGGCAGGGGCACGCTGCCCAAGTCACGGATGGGCTTGGGTGGAGAGGGATATGCCCCAGACCTGCAGAGCAGTGTAAGGAAGGGGCTTTCTTGCTTTGCAATGTCAGCGGACGTGCCTGCCTTCAGTGACTTCCCCAGATTAAATCCTTGAGCACATGCACTTGCTGGGCCCCTTCCAAAGCAGAGAGAAGAGAGTCCTTGGGCTCCTGTCCTCTTGTAATCCCAGCAAGGCTCAGCTCGACTGGAACATTGCTCCCCACCTCCTTCTTATCATCAGCCACACAGACTTGTTGCTTCCTGACTTGCGTTCAGCGGTAGGCTTTTCGGGGAGAGGAGCCGTCTCTCACTACATGTTTGCACAGCACCTTGCACAAAGGGGCCTTGATTGTGACCGGGGCTTTTGGGAGCAATACGAATAAATAAGGGGCTGTAATAATGAGCACGCTGGTTTTAATTCAGCAACATAACATGGTAATCTCACTGAGTTTATAATATTACGTATGTGTTTGAAGTGAAATGTGTGCTTATGTACTGTGTTGAACTGGGGCAGTGCCAATAGGCGAACACAATAGTTTCTGTGCAAGTGTGCACACCTGCTTGTGTGTACATGTTCTCACAATCAGGTGTGCAAGTATGTATGTGACAGCATGTGGATTTCTGCTAGAGACTGTCTGTGGGCACAGAAAAGAGAACGTGTTTTTGCTTACTTGGAGCCAACCTGACTTGCTTGTGGTGTGTACTTGTGAGAGTCTCTGTGACTGTTGCTTACGTGTGCAAATATGTACCTGCATGTATTTGCACATATACCTACATGTGAACTTGTGTGTTAAGGACTTCATAGATCACAGAAAAGGAGGGCTGGAAGAGATCTCACACGGTCATGTAGTCCAGCCCCCTTCTCAAGGCAGGGTCATCCCTAACTAAACCATCCCAACCAATTGTCTGTCCAAGCTGCTCTGGAAAACTTCCAGGGACGGAGATCCCACAGCTTCCCAGTGCTTGACCACCCTCATAGTTACAAGGTTCTTCCTAATCTCCAATTTAAATGTACTTTTCTGCACCTTGAGGCCATTGCTCTGAGTCCCATCCCCTACAGCCACAGAGAAAAAAGCCCATCCTCACCCCCTATACCATCACCTTTCAGGTATTTGAAAACTGCTATTACATCCCCTCCCAGTTTCCTCTTATCCAGAGTAAATAACCGTAGTTCTTTCCTGCCTTTCATGCTTTCCACGCATCTGATCATTTCCGTTGATCTCCACTGGACTCTATGTAATCCGTCCACGGTCTTCTCGAAGTGTGGGGCCCAAAACTGGACACGGGACTCAGGGTGAGGCCTCACCAGTGCTGAATAGAGCGGAAGATTCACTCCCTTCGATTTGCAAGTGACACTTCTGTCAATACAGTCCAATATACCGTTGGACGTTTCTGCAACAAGAACACACTGTTGGGTTGCATTCAGCTTAGGGTCTACTGTACCCCCAAGGTCCTTCTCAGCAGTACTGCGGCCTAGCCTGTCATTCCTCTGTCTATTTGTGCATGCAATTATTCCATCCCAAGTGCCAGACTTTGCGCTTGTCCTTCTTGAATTGCTTTTGGGTCATTGTTCCAGTCTATCCAGTTCATTCTGGATCATAGCCCTACCCCATGGAGTGTCTTCAACACCACCCAGTTTGGTGTCATCCACAAATTTGCTAAGCGTGCACTCGATCCCATCATCCAAATTGTTAATGAAGATATCAAACAACACTGCTCCTGGGACAGGCCACTAGGGAACCCCACTTGATACCTCTTCCACATTCCCATATGACCATGTGTATGGTATCTGAGCCAAACCCTCCACCCTTGTAAGTCAGCCTAGCTGCACTGGAGCACGCCAGCTGCCAGTAGGGCTGTACATGCATGTGGGGCTGGCACAATTATCAAGCCCTGTGTGTTTAGTGGCTTTGCTGGCCGAGCACTGGAGAGTGCGCTGCATGGGGCGATCCACACAGGCTGGGAGGTGACTGACTAATTAGGCTCTTTCCATCTGTAGCTTCTCTGGCTCAGTGCAAGATGAGTTTGTGTTGGAAAAAAGGCACCTGCATTTCAAATAAAGCTCTACAGTTACCTGCCCACGCATAGGTCACGTATTCAAAGGAAATGCTTGTTTTTACTTCACTGAGTTGGTTTAATGGGAAATTAAGCCCCTCTTGTAGACACAACGGTTCTGATGTGATTTAAAGGATTTGGCAGGGATGCAATCGGAGCAGAAGAATTTTATGCATTTCTGAAATATAAACCAACAGTGCTGCCTCGGGGAGTCTGCGAGCTCCCTGCCTGCAGCCCGGCCTGTCCCCGTGCCAGAATTTCACCGCTGAGCGGATTTGCCATTGGGTCACCCAATAAACTCTTTTCCAGCTGACCTGGTGACCCAAACATGATTTCACTGAATCAGACTTGGTGAATCAGGGATTTCGGCTAATGACTGTTGTGACATCAATGAATCAAACCCTGTCTGCATGCTGGCCAAAAATGCAAGGGTGACTTTAGTGCAGCTGGATATTCGGGCTTCGGGTTTCATGTCACACCTTCCAAACTGCTGCAAAGAGCTTCAGTTTAATCCCCGCTAAGGAGAGCCCTTCCATCAGGCCGATAGGGAGAGTTATTGGTAGCAGCCCAGGGCTCTTACCTGGGTTTCTCCCTCACACATCACAGTGAGAAAGCAACAAGTACAGCAGGGAATCTCTTGAAGAATTTCCCTCTGTGCACCTGGTATCATCTTCAAGGGCATGCGGCTGGGCATTGATGTGGAAGCTGTTTTAGCTTGGACCCACTATCCCAGTTCATGAATATGTATAAGGAAGGGATATACATATAAAGAAAGCTCTGGGTGTGACTCAACTTCATCCAACTGGAAGACCTGGTGGCAACATGGTGGGGCTACTCATGGCAAGGGAAGCTCCTATAAAGTACCACAATGTTGCAATCTTCAGAATAAGGCAAGAATAGGGTGCCTCAAAACCTTGGCCCCAACTGCTTTGTGGGCACTCCTTGGTTGGAGCAGGGCCAGATTAATACATAGGCAAACCAAGCACATGAGCTGCAGGCGGGACCCGCTACTTCCCTCTGCAGCCGTGCAAATGGTCCCATCACCTCGCCTCACCCTCCCCTGGATGCCTGGGGGAAAGGTGCTGCTAGGTAAATATAATTACTTTTCAATTTTGACCCAATTCTCAGTCTCATTCACTCAGCTGCCAGCCACCCTGAGCAATACAAAACAAGCAAGTTTGCAAAACAAGCTCATTTGCATGGCTGTTTTGCATATATCTGGACTATGCAAATAAAACATGCAAATTAGCCCTCCCCTCACTTAATACACATTGTTCATCATAACGTACCAGTGAGAGTGAGAACCCGGTCACACACCTCCGTAACACCAGCACCAAGAGGGGATGAGGATCCTTTCCCTGCTGGAGCCCGGATCTTGGAGCGGGGAGCCCTAGCACCTGGTCCCTGCCCTGCCCACCCTTGCCCAGGGCCTGCCAAATGATTAATCCAGCCCTGGGTTAGAGAACGGCTAAGGGACATCACCCTAACAGAAGCGTGCCCTTGCTGAGATGTTAGGCAGTCAGCAGCAGTTTTTATCTGTTGCTCTCTGGCAGAAGCTATAACCATTGAGTCACTGAACATCTGGACTCGGTCTGCCCTTTGGATTCTGTCTTAATGGTCTAAAGCAGGGATTGTAGGTCTTGGGCAGCTTCTGCTCCTCCATACTCTTGACTAGGGGTATGAATCAAAGGTCTTCATGTGATGGTTGCAGGATTCTGTACAAGCAGATTCACTAGGCACCTGACTATACTTCTTGTATACTATAATCCAAAGGATCAATGGCTGCCAAAAAATAATAAATAAGGAAGGGGCCCAGTTTAAGTTGAAGTAACTCAAACAATCCCATAAGGATCTAACTTTTGGAGAGCTGGTGCTGTTAAAGGTGATCCCAAATCACTACCCCAGATTTGGCACCCTTAAAGTCCAGAGGTGGTTGGACATCCAGATCTGCATTTGGCATCTCAGTGTTGTACAGCTCCCAGCACCATAGGACCACGGCCTGGTGGAGGTCTCCAGTGCCACCACAAAGCAAATGATAAATACAACCATCATCTTTGCTGTGCTGACTTGGCACCCCACGTTCAGGTCAGATCTCCCTGTTTGACACCAGTATCAGAACAAGGGAGGCCCACTCCATACCACTGGGTGTCTCTGCATGCTGGAAGTACAGTTAGCCTCGTGTTTCATATCTATGCAGGTTCCCTT